TGCTTCGTAAGATAACAATGTATTGTCAACGACTCGAACTAAATGTGTTTTAAATGATTTAACCCCGGCTTCCCAAAGGCCACCAAAGTGTGGGGCTCGTGGAGGAATCAGGTGCCAATTAACGTTTTGATTGGTTAAAAAGTCATTGATAGGTTTAGGATTGTTATTTGACGGAATTTCTTTGTATAATTGGTTTAGTGCGCCTTTAGCACCAACAAAATTTTTTGTATTGTCTGAATATACATCGGTAGATTTGTCTCTACGCGCAAAAAATGTGGCTAAAAACGCTTCTGTAGTTAGATCACTAACCACTTCGATGTGTATAGCTTTAGTCACAAGGCAGACGAAGAAAGCAACATATACCTTAACCTTTCCGCGATTTCCGAAATGTCTTTCCTTAACAAAGAAAGGACCGCAATAATCAATTCCAGTATGTAGAAATGGTCTTTTAAAGGTAACTCGATTTTTTGGTAACGGTGCCATGATATATTCAGTTTTTGTCGGCTTGGCGCGAAAGCAAGTTATACATTTTCTTAACACGTTTTTAGTAGTATTTCTACCGTCAGTTACCCAGTAATTTTGCCTAATAAACGCTAAAGTAGCTTGAACACCACTGTGTAAATTTGTGACATGGACATCGCGAATAATTAAATTGGATACATGATGATTTCGTGGTATCAAAATGGGATGTTTTTGATCGTAGGGTATATCTGCCTGAATAAGTCGGCCTCCTACTCTTAAAATACCTTGGCTATCAACAAATGAATTAAGTAATGATAAATTCCCTTTAGGCACCCTTTGAATTCGTTGAGAAAAATAATCAGCAAATGCATCGTGTTGTACAATGTGAATTATTTTCCTGGTTGCGATTTTCAATTCAGTAACGGTAAGATTGCCGGATAATTTGTCTTTTTTGTTTTTAATGTTATGGATGAATCTTAAGCAGTAGGCCAATACACGCTTCAAACGGAGGAACGATGAAAATCTCAAAAATATGTCCGACTTATTAGAGGTAGTTGATTGGAGGCTAATAACGGCGCGTTTTTCTGGGATTTCGTCTATGTGAAGATATGTTTCAGGCCAATTAGATTCACTCTGCTGAAGCCATTGTGGACCAGATCGCCACAGAGTAGATGAGAGTATTTCAGATGGATTTAAACCTCGCGATACCAGATCAGCAGGGTTATCATTTGACGCGATGTGTCTCCAATTATGTTTAATCGTTTCGGCAACGCGATTCGCGACAAATGTTTGTAAGGTGTGCGGGCTTGTGGAGATCCAGCTAAGTGCTATAGTCGAATCTGACCACAGCGTCACCTCATTAATATGAATGCGACGCAGACTGGCATATGTTGTTTTAAGAAGTCTGCTTAACAAAAGGGCTGCGCATAATTCCAATCTAGGTAGTGATAATACCTTTAATGGAGCTACTCGTGATTTGGAATAAACCAAGTTAATATTTATGTTACCGTGATTATCGAGACAACGCATGTAAATGCAAGCTCCATAGGCGCGTTCGCTTGCGTCGCAGAAACCGTGCAACTGTATGGAACAATGATTGTTACTGATAATCTTTCTCGGAAAATCAATAGTGTTTAGAAGAAGTAACTGATTTCTAAAATTAGTCCAAAATGTAAATATTTCTAACGGTACCGTTTCATACCAAGAGCATTTCAGTTGCCATAATCGCTGCATCAATAATTTTGCCTTTATTATTACAGGACCTAATAAACCTAAAGGGTCAAACAATTGTGCTATTTGGGACAAAATAGTTCTTTTGGTTACGCGTTTCTCTACAAGTTCGTTAACACAATAGGTTAAAGAATCATGCTTTGGTGTCCAATACACACCGAGTGTTTTAGTAGCTTGGTCACTATTTAAACATAGATGAGTATCATTAGAGCAATCTGATAGTTCTTGTGTTAAACGTGGGTCATTTGAGGCCCACTGTCTTAGATGAAAACCTGCCTTGGATAATAATTGTATTAAGCTATCGCGTAATTTAACTGCGTCATGGTAAGTATCAGTACCTGTCAATAGGTCGTCAACATAAAAATCTTCTTTAATTATATTGGATGCTAAGGGATGATTGTCGCTCTCACATTCAGCTAATTGATGTAACGATTTTATAGCTAAATACGATGCCGAAGATGTACCATACGTTACTGTGTTAAGTTGATATGTTTTGATTGATTCGCTAGAGTTTTCACGCCATATAATTTTTTGAAATTTACGATCATCGAAATGTAACATAATTTGTCGGTACATCTTAGCAATGTCCGCTGTTAAAGCATAATTGTGTGAACGAAAACGTACAATAATTGAAAATAGATCTTCTTGAATGACGGGACCTATCATTAACGTGTCGTTTAGGGATATTCCTGAAGATGATCTAGCGGAACCATCAAACACAACGCGCAGTTTTGTAGTTGTACTTGGAGTTTTTATAACTGAATGGTGGGGTAGATAAAAACTGTCTGTTGCAGGTGCGTTTGCGATTTCTGAGATGTGATTTAACGTTAAATATTCGTTCATAAAGGCTATATACTGTGATTTCAAATTTGGATTTTTTGCTAATGAACGTTCTAGAGAATAAAATCGTTTCAAGGCAAGTGAATAAGATTCACCTAGGTTCTGTTGGTTTTGTTTAAAAGGTAGTTTAACTATAAATCTACCTGTTGAGGGGTCACGCTGGGTATTTTGCCGATAGTGATTTTCGGTTGCTTGTTCTTCAACTGAAAGTATTTTACCAGCGGGGGTTTCCTCTATTTCCCAAAATTTACTTAATTGCAGTTGTAATAGACTAGTTGACAAATTACAGACTGATTTGCTGGGGGAAGAATTTTCAAAAAGCTCACCAAATTGGGTTTTTAACAATGCTATGTTATTTCCTGGAAGAGATATTTTGCCAACACATAAAAGTTTGTGGAAAACAGCTGAACCTAAAATGACGTCAACTTCAGCTGGTTTGTTGAAGTTGGGATCAGCTAATTTAATATTTCTAGGTATATTCAACGCTTCTCTTTGTATATGTCGAGACGGCAAATGATCGGTTAATTTTAGAAGCAATAAAAACGGAGCTGTTAATTCGAACTTATTATATTTTGATTTAATACATGCACTTACTGAAGAATTGATGGATTTGGTTAATTGATGGATACCACTGACCGAAACGTTTGTTCTATGCCTTTTCAAATTTAGTTTGTTTGCTATTTTTTCAGTAAGAAAGTTAGATTGTGATCCGTTGTCAATTAGAATTCTACAAGGATGAGGTTGACCTGATGTATCTAGAATATCAGCAACAACAGTTGATAATAATGTTTGAGAGGGAATGATTGCCTGCAAACTTGCAACGTTATCTTGTGATATGTTTTTACTTTGTGAAGATTCNACGCACACTTTACAAACAACACGGGTACACACACAAACAAACAAACAAACACACACACACGCACAGGCACACACACATATATACAGGCAAACATTCGCACGCGCGGCGTATTGTTAGTGTAAGTACATCAACGGTGTGCAATATTTACTTTTATGTTACCGTTGCACCGAAGATTCTATGTTTAGTCGGTTGGTTAAAACGTCGGTCTAGCAAAACAAAAGCTGTTTCGCCTTGGATCGAACCAGAACTCTGTTCACAGTTTTTTTCAGAAAACAAAAAAAAATGTCGCAACACGGCGGCGAGAGGACAAACTGCAGCGAAGATAGCGGAAAATTCAAAGTCGCAGACGATAGTAGCAGAGCGAAGCCCTGGCTGACAATGACAGCTGTCAAAGAGGGTTCACGATGACAGCCGTCAGAGATGGCAAGCGATGACGGGTGTCAAAGATGGCCAGCAATGACAGATGTCAAAGATGGCCGGCGATGACAGCTGTCAAAGATGGCTGACAATGTCAGCTGTCAAAGATGGTTGACGGCCCTGACGTCAGAGTAGGAGTGGAAGGGGTAAAACGGTCGAAAAAGGACGAAAATGAACCTTCATAAGAAAATACATGGGATTTTGAGGCCGAACTGTCATAGCCTATCTGGCCATGAGTCAGTATTTACTATACGGCGGTTTCGAGTGGGTTCAATATTCAAATACAATTGACGTAACAACTGTGTCGGACACTTCAAATGTAGGGTATTTACTCGAGGTGGATCTTACATATCCACGGCATCTACACGATCTACATCGAGACCTACCGTTCTGTCCTGAGCATAATGCTCCTCCCAATTGTAACACCGGTAGTAAACTTTTGGCAACATTATACGATAAGACACGATACGTTATACATTATCGTGCATTAAAACAGGCAATAAAGCACGGGCTTATCATCACCAAAATTCATCGTGCTCTAAAATTTAATCAATCTCCTTGGCTTAGAGCCTACATTGACATGAATACTGCGTTGCGTCAGGCGGCTACGAATGAATTCGAAAAGAACTTGTTCAAGCTTATGAACAATGCTGTATTTGGTAAAACGATGGAGAACATTAGGAAGCGATCTGTTGTAAAATTGGTAAGCAAATGGAACGGGCGTTATGGGGCTGAGGCACTTATAGCAAAACCCGAGTTTAAGGCGGCCACTATTTTCAACGAAAATTTGGTCGCCATTGAACTTAATAAGACAGAGGTGTATTTTAATAAACCGATATACGTTGGCATGTCGATTTTGGATCTTGCTAAAACCACCATATACGATTTCCATTATGAGTACATGTTGCCGGAATTTGGTGAGGACTGCTCTGTCTTATACACCGACACCGACAGTCTTATATACGAAATTCGTAATAAAGACATATACGAAGTGATACAGCGTGACTGTCATACACGTTTTGATACCAGCGATTATCCGCAAGACAACAAGTACAACATCCCACAGGTAAATAAAAAAGTTTTAGGTATGATGAAAGACGAGTTTAACGGCGTACCAGTTGAATTATTTATCGGTCTGAGATCGAAAATGTACGCCGTTAAACAGGCTGTAAATAATAGCAACGCGATTAGAACAGAAATCGGCTTGACGAAAAAGATTAAAGGTATTAAAAGGTCTGTTATTAAACGGGTCATTACGCTCGACGACTTCGTCGAATGTGTTGACAATTTTAAAACTAAATACATTTCTCAAAATTTAATAAGATCCGAAAAACATGCAGTTTTTTCCATAACACAAGATAAGATCGCGTTAAATCCCCACGACGATAAAAGGTATTTAATTAAGGGATCGTATGAGACCTTTCCCTGGGGACATTACTTCATTAAGGACGACGGCGATGAATCCTTAGAATAGGTTGTTTTTAGCTGTTAAGCTCAAGTTTTTGAATATATGTATATACTTAATATAAACTGTACGGCACAGTCCGGGTTTGTTTTCCTATCGTAACAAAGTAATTAGTGTAATAATAGGCATTAATATTAGGAAAATAGAAGTTAATTTTTGGTATAGGTAAAGCAAATTTGATGTACATAGGTAAATACCAGGTGTATATGAGTAATGTTAATTTATTTTCGCTGTTCTAATCATATATGGTAATAATAATAAGTCACCTGTTTAGTCAACCATCCGTTGTATATCAAACACTTATTTAATAAAAGCAAATGAATTATTCGTCTCTTCTTTATAGATTCCGTTACTTAATACGAATATCTATACGCTTACACATATGAATAAAGCATTGCATGTGTCTATCTACGTTAGTGTGTAAATACTGCGTTTCACCAACACATGCTCACTGCACATTAAACGATAAATTTTTATTATGTAACATTCAAGGTCAATAAATATTATTAATTACATTCATTAGCAATGAGGTAAACGAAAAACAAAAGCTTCTTTAATTATAACTACTCTCATGGTACACATGCATACACATACTGGTACATACATACATAGCAGATAGCCGCCAATTGTACTTATAATTCGATCAAGGTCGCTTAGGATGCTCTCACACAGACGCACGCACACTTTACAAACAAACACACACACACACGCACACAGACACACACATATACACGCAAACATTCGCACGCGCGGCGTATTGTTAGCGTAAATACATCAACGGTGTGCAATATTTACTTTTATGTTACCGTTGCACTGAAGACTCTATGTTTAGTCGGTTGGTTAACACGTCGGTCTAGCAGCATTAAAGCTGTTTTGCCTTGGATCGAACCAGAACTCTGTTCACAGTTTTTTTTCAGAAAAAAAAAATGTCGCAACAAGGCGGCGAGAGATCTGGCGGCGAGAGGACAAACTGCAGCGAAGATAGCGGAAAATTCAAAGTCGCAGACGATAGTAGCAGAGCGAAGCCCTGGCTGAAAATGACAGCTGTCAAAGATGGCCGGCAATGACAGATATCAAAGATGGCCGGCGATGACAGCTGTCAAGGATGCCTGACAATGCCAGCTGTCAAAGATGGTTGATGGCCCTGACGTCAGAGTGGGAGTGGAAGGGGTAAAACGGTCGAAAAAGGACGAAATTGAACCTTCATAAGAAAATACATGGGATTTTGAGGCCGAACTGTCATAGCCTATCTACT